CTTATTCTCATCGCTTCTAAACCGTGCAACCATCTTATGCTACGTTCTTTTAAACAAAACGTTTAACAAGACAGCCGGCTCCTGTCAGCTTGCTGATGGTTGATTATAGTCATGTGGGCAGCGGTGTTCATAACACGGCGTCTCTCTTTAATAAAAGGCGCCATGATGCAAGAAATGTCGTCCCAAATCTGCGTTGATCCGGGCCTTTCCGGAAAGGCCCGGATGAAACCCTTTTGAAGAGATCCTTCATGACTATAAAAGCAATTATGACAAGTCAAGTGTAAACTGTTTAGTGTCGGTCTCTCTGACAAAGGCTGGACAAGTGCACCTTTTTTCTTGCGAAGCGCTTCGGGGAAAATTCACAGGTTCAGTTTGCTGGTTGATGGTTGTTTCCATCAAGAGACATTTGGTTCAAGGATAGTGGATGCTTCCACTTAGGCTTCCTCGGTTCTCTGAGCACACCCGATCACACCCCGCTTCCAAGAAGTGTGCGAAATCTACGACTCTAATTCGCTTGGCGGTGTCGAACAAGGGATTGGTGAATTGCAAACGAGAAGGCTGATCTGCTATGTTACTATGTGAAGGAACTCTGCCAAACCAGCTGTATATCTTGATTCGTTCTTCCAATCGGACAAAATTCTGCACCATGGATTTGGTATGCACAGTTGCTCCAACACCCTGTATGAAAGCACTGCGAGCAGCTTCGTTGTCAATATAAAAAACAACTTGGCCACCAGCGATGTAGGTAGCCCAGAGCGAAGCTGCCATCAGGACTGGCAGGATTTCCAACTCATATATGGGATGCTTTGATGTGCCCAGCAAGATCTCCAAGAACTCGGCATTGACTCTTTCTCCAAAAAGTTCAATCAAAGTCCCGTGCGGGCTGACAAGAACGCCTCCCACACTACCGAAACCCTGGTCAGATTTCTCATACGCTCCATCGGTGAATACTAGCCAAGTCCAACACAAAGCTCGACTAACCCTCACAGGTTGGGACTGCTCCACCAATTTCTCAAGACCCTGCAAGGCTTCAGCCAGCGAACCCTGGACCAAGACCCTGCTAGTGCGAACCCGAGAAAATTCAGATAAAGTCCGAACAAAGCCATTCATCAACCTACCAAAGATGAAGGAGCTGAACCAGACTAGTCTCCCATGCAATCGTTCGAGCTCTTTTGGAGCAGCGGCTGCTGCCTTCAGAATGGAGCGTAAGCTATTGAGCAACTCGTCATGCCTCTTCGAGGTATGCTATATCGAAAAGGTTCCTGAAGTGACCGTTGAGACATCTATTATCAAACCCAAGGACTTGAAAGCACTTTGGAAGGGTGGAGCTTTGTCACCTGTGGCGGCGTATTCGACTCCAAGCAATTTAAACAATGACTCAACGTACCATCCGACGTTATCAGCCTCCTCCTGTGTGCACAGTACAGTAAAGTCATCAAAGAAACTAGTCCAGGTGATGTCCAAACCATATGTGCCAATGTATGCGATGCTGCAAGCAACTCTGAGGAAACTGGTGACGCTTCCTGAAGCTCCGAACGGCAGTGCGTAGACTTTGAACAGGCCGTACGAGCCTCCGGGTTTCCGCACTGCGATGTTCAAAAACTTGCTGCGCCACTCATCCACACCAAACTGTTTGTAAGCATGTTTAAGATCAAACGTGCGTCCTACCAGAGCAGGGCACGCAGCACCTTCGGTAGAGTCAAGGATGTAGGCAAGGTAAGCTGTGAGTTCATCTATGCTTTGAACCCGAAGCTTCTCTGTCATACCGTAGGCAGAATTGGCTCCACAGATCGAGAAATCATCGATCAATCGCACTTTGCTTCCTTGCGCCAGAGGAAAACGCTTGGCAATGACACATTCACTCGACCCATCGCTAACACCGAGCCACCCCTTCTGAACCTCTTCCATGGTTTCGTCCCAAGCATACTGATCATGCGGACCTTCAGTGCTGTTTTCCAACGAGCCCGTGACCGCCGCATTCAAACCGGCTGCTCTTTTCCGCAGTTCCTGGGTTGTCAAACTGGGCTTTCGAACATGCTTGTGGAACACTCCAGTTTGCGGCGCCCAACCTGTCAATGCGAACCCTTTTACAACATCATCGATAACGGCTACGTCAGAGTATGCAAGGTCAATCAAGATCTCCTTCCACAACAAGAGCCGTTTACCCATCAGGATGGGGACCAAGTGTGGCGCAAGGGAATCATGCAACTTCTGCTCGCTTTCTTTCAGCTCCAAGGATCTCTTAAGCCATTTCTTCATGAAGGCTGCACGCTTTTGGAAACGAACAGAGCGAGGTTGATGCACCAAATTCAAAAGCAGGTCCCGCTCGGCGTCCCGTATGTTTGCAATGATGTCTCTAGGGTGACCCTTGTTCAAGGCTTCTTGTATAAACTCACTGGGTTCCCTTGGGATGCCAATGTTCACTACTTCACATTGCCCATCCGTGCCACACCTCTCGTCAACGACAACAGTGCGTGATTTCTGTGCCATGTCATCCCGATTCCACCCCCGCTGCTGGAGAACCCGATGACAAATGCGAGCTCCCTTGGGGAGTGTACGAAGAGTTTGCTCCAAAAATTCGGACCTATCAGGCAAGGTTACCACCGTTACATAACCCGAGAACTCAGAGACCAACGGCCTGAGACGACGACCTCTAGGTTGTGTTGTAAACAGCTGGCGTTTTGCACTGACATTGGTGTGGTCCAACTGTTGGTGCAAGTCAGTGGGAAAAATGAAGCCCGCCTTTGTGGCCTCTGTCCTCAAGATGTATGCAACGCGCTCACACAGCAAGTGCGGATAAGCGGCTTCATCTGCTGTTGGGAAAATTCGTTTCCCTGAGGCGTCCACATAGGGTTTCCAGGGCGCGTGTTGGTGTTGTTTGTTACACTTCAGTGCCAAGCTCGCGAACAAATCCCTCTGCGGATCACGCGGGTTGAAGCTATACCAAGCAGTGTCTTTATCACGCTTTCCCCCGTGCATGCAATGGTGAAAAGTGCAAACATGGTAGGTTGGCAACTTGCCCAACAAATGCTTTAAGAAGGAAGTCTTCCACAACAAAGAGTTGCGAGGGTTTTCAATGCTGATGCTGACTCCCAATTCCACCAAAGCAAAAATAAGCTCCGACATCGCTGCATAACTTCTGTTAGCCTCTGACACCCTTTGATGCTCCGACTCCGTCAAGTTGGGTAGGCCATCTGGATGAGCATCACTCCTCAAAGGCTTTGGAGCGGTTTTGAAACCTGGAATTGGCCGTTCTCTTGCACGCGAAGCAGTACCACAGCTTGGAGCAAAGTGTGCATGCAAGATTGCACTTCTCTCTTTTTCCAGATAAGTGCGCAAATTCAAGAACTGTTCTTCATTGGTAATGTCACAAACGTACACCGGAAAGTTTTCTGAACGGCCTGGGTCCTTGTCAATCGCAGTGCACCTGAAGTCAAGCGAATGGCAAGCTTTCGAGAGTCGACAACTTCCTGAAAAAACTTCCACGAACAAGCAATCGGTTCGGGCTGAATCGTTGTGCAAGTCATGCATAGCCGGCTCAATGAGCTCCTGCATAGCCAGTCCATTGTCCTGTCTCGCAGAAGCCGGCCCTTGTGATGAGCAAAAAGTGGGTGAAAACAACTGCCCTGCTTCATTCCGTTTTGTTTCATCGTTGCAGGGCTCATTGCGAGATAGTCAAGATGATTCTTGACAGTTTGCAGCCCCGTGGCCCGTCTTCAAGCAACGCATGCATACATGAAAACCGAACCTACAGCGGCCCTTCTTGACTTCATTACTGCACCCTTGTTTGAGGTTTCTCTTCCAACAAATTGGTTTTCCATCTTTCGTCTTCAAGTGCAGTCCGGTCAGTTCGGATGGTAACTGGCTAGGCGAACGCTGGGCACCCGGCTTGGGCTGCTTCTGCTTCTTCGGGGGCGGGTTGGACACCTTGTCACCTTCTTGCTGAATGCTACGTTTCTCACCTCTAGCAGTTGGGGTTAAATGAATATTGATGCGAGGGTCATTCATCAACCTTTGAATGACTGCATCGAGAGGTGGCGGATCACCAACGTTTGCCCCCTTGAGCGAACCATCAAATTCGGCTGCTATAGTTAGGAATAGCTCCTGATCGGCACGAAGCAACTGCTGCAAGGTGATGCTATTAAACCCTGGGATTGCTTCAGACATGAGTGCTCTAAAGAGTTTGTTGACCCATTCCATATGCACTGGCCAAGACACAAGATTGACTAAGTCAAACGCAAGTCCCCGGCGCTGAAGGGCGTACATCAATTTCATCTCAGTCCCAATGTCCACAGAGACCAGGGCATCTGAGGCTGTGGCCTTGATAGTTCCTTGCTCCAAAGTCAATAACTGCTTCTGCTTGTTCTTTGCTTCTGACTGGATTTCAGCATCTCGCGAGCCACACTTCGAAGGTGGCAGGTAAACAACTGCACCGGTCTCAAGAATGTTGAAGGCTGCATCAATCAAAGCATGAGAGGCCTGCTGCTCGTGTTTATGACTGATTCCAGTGATGCGCGTTTGCTGAGCTCTCAACCTCCTCTGCTTCTCGATGAAGGGCAATGTCTTGCCAGGCTCTGTCACATCACCTGCTGTTACCTGCCTCTTGAGATCGGCAACAACTAAAGTTACGGCTTCAAAATGCAAACGCTTCACCTTCGAAACCTGTGCAAGAGTGGCAGCTACTAGGAAAATCCTATCTGCGAATCGCTGCATAGCCTCATCTGTTGGAGCTGTCTGAGGGGCTCCAACAGCGTATGCAAGTGAAGCGAAAGTGACAATGCCAGCATTACTCATTGTATCATATAAATTCGGATCCAGCTCTTTGCAGCGTTTCTCAAACGCAGCTTCTGAGTCGACTAAGGCCATGGCGATGCTAAGCAACCTGAAGCAGGTTGTCTACCTGTTGTATGGCATGCTTCCATACTATGTTTGGTATTCCCGTGGATCCGATTTTGTGCGCTGCTTTCTAGCCATGTTCCAACTACCGTTGGTGTTTCTCAATGCTTTGAGCAGACCCGCACTGAACCCTGGCTGTTTCCAAGGTCCTGGATCCAAGACAAAACATACTCCAAACAAGTAAAATTTCAACGAAAAAGGTGTTAAATTTAAGACCTTTTTGCGGCATTCCAAGACGACTCAAACAGACCAAGAAATCTTAGAATTTTCTTTTCTCTCGCTCGAGACACCGGCTGAGTTTCCAACAATGGAACCCTGCCCTTCATGGCCCATGATTGGCCCGGCACCTGTTAGTGCCCTAGATCACAGAAAATGCTACACTTCATACTCTACTTTCTTTTTTCCAGCATGGGTGACATAGTGGAGTGTCAAACCTCACCTCCTCTACCACGCCGTATCTTTCTGGCACTGCTTTGCGACCACACAACAAGATGAGCTGGTGTTCCTTCTCCATGCAATGCAAAGTTCGAAGCTTCGTATGCTGCACAAGCTTCAAAGAGTCCGGCACGGTAGGAACACGCAGCGGTCTCCTGGCCCCACTGAGGACAGCGGCACTCTCATCTGAGCTTGTGGATGTATCCGGCGCCTCTGATGATGCATTGTCCTCCTCTTCCCTCTTCGGGCTGTCAGGGTCGACCTCAATGATTTCGGCAGACTCTCGGCTCTGGTTGGTCACCTCAACTTCTCGTGGTTTGTTACAAGGCTCACTGGCTTCGACCCATTCACCAACGAGTGAGAAAGGTGTTGACGCGAAGGATTCGTCCATGGTGCAACCCTCCAGAACCACGTCCCTGAATCTTCCGCTCCTGGTCTCATCTGGGCGGAAACGGCCAACACGCACATCATTGAGCAGCTCCTCCAGGACTCGCAAAGGTCTGGCCATGGCTTCACGACTGTAAGTGATAGTCGACTTGATAAAAGACACGTGCCCACCAAGCACTTGCCTATCCTCCCAAAGGTCACCATGCTTGGACAGCCAACTCAACAATGTGCACTTGCAGCTGTGGGAAGTGATCCTCCGGTCGGTCAGGTCGATCTCACACCGAGCCAACAACATACGGGTCCAGCTCTTCATCTCATCTGTCGTCAACGGCCGTCGACTCGGACTGTTGTCTGCGTTCGGAGCCGGCATGGTTGGGAAGTTGTCGTCAAAACAGATCCCAAGTTGCTCACGCACTTCAACCCAAACTGCTGCCCAATTGTGATCTGTAATTCCGTAAGCAGGGCAAATGGCCGGCAGAAAAGAGTTTCTGAATGCGCTTGACCACTTGCACTTGTGTTCATTGATATGAAATTCCAGAAATGCAAGTTCGCCATAATCGTCATGATCATGCAACACACTCTCCGCCTGCTGAAGGTCTGACCAACGACTTCTGGTGTAGACTGTTGCCAACATCATCCCGGCCAACATACGGTCCCAGATGTCACATGTTTGGTCGGCCAGAATCGAATGCAACGCCTTCAACTCTGTGACTGTGAAGGGACTAGCCTGCCTCTTCGGCCCCCCAGCTTTGGCTCCCGACGCTCCAAGACACCTGCGTGATGTTGTGAGGGGCTCCAGCTCACTGACTCCCATGACATGTTGCACGAACGTCAACGATTGCATAATACCTTGCAAGCGAGAAGTAGGCCGGCCCTCATCCTTTAAGCTTGACAGAAAGTAATACAAATCACCTTCATGCCCAGGAAATGCAATTGTCTGCACCTTCAAAAAGGTAACATAGCGTAGAAAAGAATTCACACGTTTCAACAATGTAGACGGTGCCTTCTTGTGGAAAATGTCACGCAGCATCCTGAGCTGATTCGAGACGTGATCCAGCGCTGTCAACTGGCGAACAATTTCAATGTCACCTGGCAGAGTCATAAGCACGTCATGCCATCTCCTGAGACCCACCTGAAAATCAGCCTCACGCTTGTCAATCCAAGTTGTATCAACGTCAGCTTTAACTATGCTATGCCAAGAGGAGTGTTGCTGTGGAACTCGTGCACGTTTTCCTGGTCGTTCTTCTGAACTCTCAACACCAACAATCACTGGCAAGTTGGCAGCTTCAAAGTCAAAAAGAGCCGAATGAGGCTCAGTGGTTGGATTGAAGAAACCCTTCCAAAAACCGCTCTCCCACGGCAACCGAAAAGTCTGGCTGGCCGAATGTTCACTCCAGGTTTGCTCAACCAGCGTTCCGACCTCCATACGGGGCCGTTTCAAACGCCGAGCAGGAATGCAGCCATCCGCGACCGGGCCGCCGAACCCTGTGGTTTGTTGCCAAAGGAAGGAAAGAAATGAAGGTGCATTGCGACTAACTGCAACACGAAACGCAAGAAATGTACACCCCCGAGCTAATTTGAAGAAAATGGTTCCTCAAAATTTCGGAGGTCCCACCCACCCACACCTTGAGCGGAAACGTTCAGAGAACACAGAATGATCTGCTGATCAGTTACAAGAAGTTGGAACAAAGCAGACTAATAAACTGTGAGCACAAGTGTTGCTTGTGTTGTCTTTAAAAAGATTACACTCACACAGCTTAAAAAGATTACAGTACAAGTTCCAAAAGCTGAGTGACATCAGTGAAATTTTCAGAGTTTTGTTTTTACTAAACAAAACTTTGGAAAACGCGCGTCCGCATGTTTGCGAGCTTGAGCTACCGCCAAGCATTCATACACATCACGCGCAAAGGAGCACACGCA